AGTCATATTTATGTCTCCGTCCTCATGTTCCTCTCCTTCATTAAAACCCCGGGGCTCGGCACACGTGGCTTTGCTCTGGGTTCCCGTCGGTGAGTTGAGGCTGTCGTCGGCCGTTTCTCTGCAGCAGAACTCACTTAAGGAGTGAAAAACATGAGCACCAGGCCAGAGCGCCGCGGTGTCGGCTTTCAGCTGCAGGCCACGGTTCTGCGGCCGCGGCGTGAAGCAAAGCAAAACACGCCTCCACTTCTGTGGATTTATGACCGCTACTAAAGATGTGTGTGCTCCGACCCAGGCCCAGTGCTCGCTATGAGGAAGAGGAGGAGTGGTAGTCGTAGCAGTACCAGCTGTGGTAGTAGTAGCTGTGGTAGTAGTAGTAGTAGGTGTGGTAGTAGTAGTAGTAGAAGTAGCTGTAGCTGTAGTAGTAGTAGTAGTAGTTGACGCTGTAGTAGCAGTAGTGGCAGTAGTAGTAGAAGTAGTGGCAGTAGTAGAAGTAGTGGCAGTAGTAGTAGAAGTAGTGGCAGTAGCAGTAGTTATAGTAGTAGAAGTAGTGGCAGTAGTAGTAGAAGTAGTGGCAGTAGCAGTAGAAGTAGTAGCAGTAGCAGTAGTAGTAGTAGTTGACGCTGTAGTAGCAGTAGTGGCAGTAGTAGTAGTAGTAGTAGTAGAAGTAGAGGCAGTAGTAGAAGTAGTGGCAGTAGTAGTAGCAGTAGCAGAAGTAGTGACAGTAGTAGTAGTAGAAGTAGTGGCAGTAGTAGTAGCAGTAGCAGAAGTAGTGACAGTAGTAGTAGCAATAGTAGAGGTAGTGGCAGTAGTAGTAGAAGTAGTGACAGTAGTAGTAGAAGAAGTAGTGGCAGTAGTAGAAGTAGTAGTAGTAGAAGTAGTGGCAGTAGTAGTATTAGTAGAAGTAGTGGCAGTAGTAGTAGTAGTAGTACTAGAAGTAGTGGCAGTAGTATTAGTAGAAGTAGTGGCAGTAGTATTAGTAGAAGTAGTGGCAGTAGTATTAGTAGAAGTAGTGGCAGTAGTATTAGTAGAAGTAGTGGCAGTAGTAGTAGTAGTAGTAGAAGTAGTGGCAGTAGTAGTAGTAGAGGCAGTAGTAGTAGTAGAAGTAGTGGCAGTAGCAGCAGAAGCAGTATCACTAAAAATCTCGCTTTCCTCGAGTCATTTGCATGTTCTCTCTCTTTTCTTTGCCGATGCAGGAGGGACTAAGGGCAGCGGTAATGATCCCGGACTCACGACATTCAAAACCATTTATGGACTTTATCAACAAAGATATCGACAGAGGTCATACTGCTGTGATGTAGGGCTGTACAAAGCTGCTGTCATTTGCATGTTCTCCTCACCCGTTGTGCGTGACCAGACACTGCCGCAGTCCCAGCTTCCTGAAGATGTCCACGGTGATGTCCATGGCCGTGTGGTCGGTGACGGTGAAGGGGCTCAGGTCCATGATGGAGCGCAGACGCAGAGGGGGCGGAGCTTCTGGAGGCTGCGGCGGAGCGTGCTCGGTGAAGACCACGCGGGACGCACTGACCACGCCCTCTTGGCACTTACGACCGTTATCTGAGAACGCACACACACACACACACACACAACACACACACACACACACAAACACACACATACACAAACACAACATAGAGAAAACATGTCAGCTTTAGTGTGTGTCTCAGTGTGAGCAGAGAGGAGAGAGGGAGGAGAGAGCAGAGAGGAGAGAGAGGAGAGAGGGGGAAGGAGAGAGGGGAGAGAGTAGAGAGGAGAGAGAGGAGAGAGGGGGAAGGAGAGAGGGGAGAGGAGAGAGGGGAGAGAGCAGAGAGGAGAGAGGGGGAAGGAGAGAGAGGAGAGAGGGGAGAGGAGAGAGCAGAGAGGAGAGAGAGGAGAGGGGGAAGGAGAGAGAGGAGAGAGGGGAAAGGAGAGAGAGCAGAGGGAGGAGAGAGAGGAGAGGGAGAGAGAGCAGAGAGGAGAGCAGAGACAGGAGAGGAGGGAGGAGAGAGGGGGAAGGAGAGAGTAGTGGGAGGAGAGACAGCAGAGAGAGGAGAGGAGAGAGGGGAAAGGAGAGAGCAGAGAGAGGAGAAGTGAGAGAGGGGAGAGAGCAGACAGGTCAGGGAGAAAGAGCAGAGAGGGGGAGAGGGGAGAGACAGGAGAGGAGAGAGGAGGAGAGAGGAGAGAGCAGGATGAGAGAGAGGAGAGAGATGGGAGAGAGGAGAGAGGGGAAATGAGAGGGGAGAGGAGAGAGGAGAAAGGAGAAAGGAGAAAGGGGTGAGAGAGGAGAGGGAAGAGGGGCGAGAGAGAGACAGGAGAGGGGAGAGAAAACAGAGCAGACAGGTCAGAGAGAGAAGAGAGCAGAGAGGGGACAGAGAGGGGACAGAGAGAGGGGAGAGAAGAGAGCGAGAGAGGGGAGAAGAGGGGAGAAGAGGGGAGGGAAGGGGGAAGAGGAGAAAGAGAGAGAGAAAGAAGAGGAGAGATAGGAGAGGGGAGAGAGGAAGGAAGAGGAGGGAGGGATGGGAGAGACGACAGAGAGAGAGAGAAGCGAGGGTAGAGAAGAGAGAGAGGGGAGAAAAGAGAAAGAGGGTAGTGAGAGGGGACAGACAGGGGAGAGAGGAGAGAATAGAGAGGAGAGAGAAGAGCGACGGGAGAGGAGAGAGAGAGGCGAGAGAGAAGAGCAACAGGCGAGGAGAGAGAGGAGGGGGGGAGAGAGTGAGGAGCGAGGGGCCACAATAGACAGAAAAAGAGAGGTATTCATATTGAACAGAATGTTCATACAGAATGTTCATACAGAATGTTCATACAGAATGTGAGCACAGAACGTTCATACAGAATGTGAGCACAGAATGTTCATACAGAATGTGAGCACAGAGAGAGTCCAGATGAAGATGTTTTGACAGAGTTGTGAAGTGAATGTGTTTGAGTGAGACTGACCGATGGAGATGAGCAGGTCTCGTCTGAACACCAACCCGACCAGACGCTGAGACTCCTGGGAAACCACCACAGGGAAGCCGCTGTAGTGTGTGCTCTCCACCAGGGCCTGCAGGGGGCGACAAACACAGTCACACAACATTCCTTCACTTCCATCGTACCGTGTTGGAGGCATTATTTTAGTTTTTCCCACTGGGTCTTTTAGAGTTCTCCCGTCCCGATCCAGGACCATCTCCCCTGCATTTCCTGTCTTTGAACGTGTTTGATTCTCTGATCTATGTTGGAGAATCTTATGAAATAACTTCTGCTGTGATTTAAGGTTATACAAAAATACATTGAATTGATAATTGACAAATGTGGATGTAATTAAGAGGACTTGGTAAAGTAGTGGTGAAAGTTAATATTGAACATAGATAATGAAGAGTAAGGGACCCAGGATGGAGCCTTGTGGAACACCAACCCCGAGGTCCCAGGCAACAGAGTCCTTGGGGGCCCCGATATCGACCACATAACCAGATTTTGTAATCCTACAAAATCTAATCTTTCCATTTGGCCCTGGGTGTTTATATAGTCTATAAACACGGAGGGCCAAGTGAAAGATGAGGCTCTTAGCTTTAATCTGCAAAAAATGGCTTGTTTTTACCTATTACTGTCCTTGAGCAAACTGTCATAGAATATAATGTATATAGTTTAATCCAAAACTTGGGGCCCAATTGGATTTAAACCCGGGTCATCGCGTCTCAACGTTACCACTCGACCATTATGTCAAACTGCGATTGTTTGTCTCCAGGCAGGGCTGTTAATGAAGAACGTGGCAAGTTTTGCATCAGACGACAAGTTTTTATCGCCAACTCGTCACTGTAGGTAGCTGTTGTAGCCTGGACAAGTCGACCGCTTGTGTCAAATCAGTCGGCCCTTGGGGGCCCCCTGCCAGTTTGGGGCCCAGGCAGCTGCCTGTCTTGCCTGACGGCAAAGGACGCCTCTGGCCAGCAGAGAAAGAGATGGTTTCACTTGTTTATTTCTATTCTGTCTGTTATTGGGGTGAATCCGGGTGAATATAGTCATAATGTGTAGATTTATTGAAGCCACTGAAGAAGTCTGGACCTGATAAACCTGCTGCTGTTATACAGAACTCTGATGATAGATTTTCCGAACACCTTCGTGTGGATTTCTGGCAGAATTGGCCAATATTAAACCTCAAACTTGGATCGGCTGCAGTGGCTGATGCACTGGGACTTTGAGAAGAGAATACATTAGAAAGTTAGGTTTCTGTGGTTTTGTGCGTCCGAACAAAGAGACGCACAACAAGGTGTTTGTATCCTCCTTGTTTAATAAGTCCCCAATCTGAGTCTTGTAGTCACTGTTATATAGGTTTTCACTCTCCGAAATATGACAAATCAAGACACATTTAGTCAAATATTTTTGAGTTGACTTAAAGCTGGAGTACATAACTTTGAGACCACAACAACGGACTAGTTCCTGGCTCTAGACAAGCTTTAAAACAAGAACCATGTGAGTGCTGAAATCAATATAACATTTTGAAATGTTTTTGCGGTGTTAAAAGGGAAAGTAGCTGTAAACCCCTGATTTGGACAGAAGGGGCAGGGGCCTGTTTAAAGAACATGTTTAAAAACTCTGTTACCTCGACTTCCCCCAGACTCATCCCGTCCTGTGTGAGCACGGCCAGAGGAGGGTCCGACCGCCGCGGCCTCATCACGTCCACGGCCAGAGAGTTGTGCTCAAACTCCTCTTTCGCCTCCAGGAATGGGTACCCGTTCAGCCGGATGTGAGCCTGCAGCAGAGAAGAGAGTTTAGAAGACTGGGAGCAAACATGGACCGCTCTAGAGGTATTTTGTGGCCCCCATATGCAAATAGGTCGGGTTATACATTGTTTTAAAGCTAATTTTATGAAGAAACACATGTATTCTGCCATAAACATTGGACCCTGAATGCAATTAACAGTCCCAGTCTACACCCTGGACTCTAGACCTGTGGACCAGTCCCAGTCTACACCATTGACTCTAGACCTGTGGACCAGTCCCAGTCTACACCCTGGACTCTAGACCTGTGGACCAGTCCCAGTCTACTCCCTGGACTCTAGACCTGTGGACCAGTCCCAGTCTAGACCATTGACTCTAGACCTGTGGACCAGTCCAAGTCTACACCCTGGACTCTAGACCTGTGGATCAGTCCCAGTCTACACCCTGGACTCTAGACCTGTGGACCAGTCCCAGTTTAAACTCATACCTCGTAGATTCCCTCTCGTCCGAAAGCGTCTGCGACCCACTTGCTGGTCATGGTCGCAGCCATCAGAGGAACGATGTACTCTAGTCCTCCGGTCAGCTCGAACATGATAACCACAAGAGACACGGTCATACGAGTGACGCCACCTGCAGGACACACAAAAAACTGCTGTTAGTCTGAAGAAAGATCAAAAGTCTTCAACTTCTTAGAAAACATGTCTCTTTTACAGAGATGTAAGATTTGCACGGGTTCCTGCTTTACAACAGTTTGCTTCAGTCACTGGTTTTCACATGTATGTACTTTTGTAGCCTGGTTCGGTTGGAACATGCTCCATAATCACAGCACAATGGATCAGTTTCAGACTCACATTGCGACCAGAACCGTGAGGATGACGAACTCAGACTAGTATTTTAAGTCAGTGAGAGTCAACTTGTATTTATGTGAGATTGTGCAGACTGACCAACACAAATCCAGCTGTAGGGACATTTGGGGTACCGCAGGGATCAACACTGGGACCCACATTATTCATGAAATAAAGTACATGCAAAGTATCAAAATTGGTAATACAATATTATGAGGTTGTATAATGCAGATCAGAGAGAGGTGTATGGTCAGAGTATTTGGGCCTGTGTGTGTGTGTGTGTGTCTGTGTTTGTGTTTGGTGTTGTATGAGTGAGAGGGGTTGGAGCCATACGTATTTAAAAAGGTGAATGGGTACATGTGTAAGTTTTATATACCATTTTTTTTCGAATAACATTTTTTTGGGTTCTCAGTCCGATGAGTCAAACAGAGCCTAAAGAGGCAGAATGGGGGCGGTCCTCTTTTTAAAACTTTTCTGTCTGAAAAAGCTGATCTAAACTTGACTCCCCCGCACTCCTTGTCAGACGGACTTAGTTGGTTCATTCCAGGCAGACGAGATCATACAGTAAATGTTGGTTGTTTTGTTTTAAAAAAAATGTTATTAAGTTGCCTTTACTTTAATTGTTCTGTTGCTGTCTGAAGAAAAAAATAAATTAAAGGCCAATAATACATTAATGTGACAACTACTGATAGAAGCAACTGTGACATGGACTGTACTGCATTGTTCTACTGCTGTGGTCTGAAAGTTGCGTACCCCAGCTTTAACATTACAAGTACAACCTTCGAAGCTGGGGCTGTTTCAAAGACGATCCTTCTCGATGTCCTCATCTCACACATGCCCATTTGTCTTCCTCTGTCTCAATACAAACCTCATCCAAACATCTGTGATCGCCTTTTCACCAGATTCCACTTTCTAACTAGAAGCTGCTGCTGTTGTTTCCGCTGCTTCGCGACGAGAAAACGGATCGGTTCACACACGCGTTTGTTTAAAGTATTAAAAAAAATCAAAGAAACACAGAGCTGATGTCCCAGAATCCTCCGACTGTGGCGTAATCAAAGGCACTCGCCACATGCTCGGATCCAGGACAGAATTAAACTGGAAACCCAAATATAAACCAACGTCGCTCAAGTTTATTCTGCGAGAAAAACACTGAGAGATGTTCTACACAGAGTCACCGACAACTGAGGAGTGAAGAGAAGTTTGACAAACGGGAAAAATAAAGAATAATGGACATCCTTCATCACATCAATATACAGTGCCTGGCGAAAGTATTCGGCCCCCTTGAACCTTTCAACATTTCGCCACATTTCAGGCTTCAAACATAAAGATATAAAAATTTAATTTTTTGTCAAGAATCAACAACAAGTGGGACACAATCGTGAAGTGGAACAAAATTTATTGGATAATTTAAACTTTTTTAACAAATAAAAAACTGAAAAGTGGGGCGTGCAATATTATTTGGCCCCCTTGCGCTAAAACTTTGTAGCGCCACCTTTTGCTGCAATTACAGCTGCAAGTCGCTTGGGGTATGTCTCTATCAGTTTTGCACATCGAGAGACTGGAATTCTTGCCCATTCTTCCTTGCAAAACAGCTGGAGCTCAGTGAGGTTGGATGGAGAGCGTTTGTGAACAGCAGTCTTCAGCTCTTTCCACAGATTCTCGATAGGATTCAGGTCTGGACTTTGACTTGGCCATTCTAACACCTGGATACGTCTATTTGTGAACCATTCCATTGTAGATTTGGCTTTATGTTTTGGATCATTGTCCTGTTGGAAGATAAATCTCCGTCCCAGTCTCAGGTCTTTTGCAGACTCCAACAGGTTTTCTTCCAGAATGGTCCTGTATTTGGCTCCATCCATCTTCCCATCAATTTTAGTCATCTTCCCTGTCCCTGCTGAAGAAAAGCAGGCCCAAAGCATGATGCTGCCACCACCATGTTTGACAGTGGGGATGGTGTGTTCAGGGTGATGAGCTGTGTTGCTTTTACGCCAAACATATCGTTTTGCATTGTGGCCAAAAAGTTCGATTTTGGTTTCATCTGACCAGAGCACCTTCTTCCCCATGTTTGGTGTGTCTCCCAGGTGGCTTGTGGCAAACTTTAAACAAGACTTTTTATTGATATCTTTGAGAAATGGCTTTCTTCTTGCCACTCTTCCATAAAGGCCAGATTTGTGCAGTGCACGACTGATTGTTGTCCTATGGACAGACTCTCCCACCTCAGCTGTAGTTATCTGCAGTTCATCCAGAGTGATCATGGGCCTCTTGGCTGCATCTCTGATCAGTCTTCTCCTTGTTTGAGATGAAAGTTTGGAGGGACGGCCGGGTCTTGGTAGATTTGCAGTGGTCTGATACTCCTTCCATTTCAATATAATTGCTTGCACAGTGCTCCTTGAGATGTTTAAAGCTAGGGAAATCTTTTTGTATCCAAATCCGACTTTAAACTTCTCCACAACAGTATCTCGGACCTGCCTGGTGTGTTCCTTTGTCTTCATGGTTCTCTCTGCGCTTTAAAAAGAACCCTGAGACTATCAAAGAGCAGGTGCATTTATACGGAGACTTGATTACACACAGGTGCATTCTATTTATCATCATAAGTCATTTAGGACAACATTGGATCATTCAAAGATCCTCACTGAACTTCTGGAGTGAGTTTGCTGCACTGAAAGTAAAGGGGCCGAATAATTTTGCACGCCCCACTTTTCAGTTTTTTATTTGTTAAAAAAGTTAAAATTATCCAATAAATTTTGTTCTACTTCAGGATTGTGTCCCACTTGTTGTTGATTCATGATAAAAAATTTAAATGTTATATCTTTATGTTTGAAGCCTGAAAAGTGGTGAAATGTTGAAAGGTTCAAGGGGGGCGAATACTTTTGCAAGGCACTGTATTGAAAGTTTGGACCGCAGCTCTTGGATCTGGTCAGTTTCTGGACTCTGACTTCTAAACATACTAATCTGCTCAATCTGCTTCATTCAATCGTTTCCAGTTTGAACTTGTGGCGCCACCTGCAGGTGAAAGAGGGGCTGATGACACAGACTGGTTGCCTCTGTTCGGTCACCATGCCCCAGGGCAGTTGTGGCTACAGTACTAGTTCATCACCACCGTGTATAGAATGAATGAATATAACGTGCGTCTTTGAGCCTCCCAAAAACGCGCTGTATAAAACCAAAGCATTACATCCGCTCTTCTATGGCCTGCTCCACTTTCCTCTGGTGTTGTTGTGGTCTGGACGGCAGCTGCGTGGTGGTGCAGCTGATCTGTTTTGACATAAACTGGGTGATGTGGAGAGGGGAGTCTGGGCGCTGGGATCCGCGGTGAGGCGTAAACACGGTCTGATGTGGTGTGAAGCCGCGGTGCGATCCCCGGTCAGTGTGAGGGCTGGTCCACCACTTCATGCTCAAACTATGTGCTGCTGTGAGAAGGAGCTTTACTGACTGTTTGTGGTTTCAGCAGCAAATGCAACGCGTTAAAATGATCGTAAAATTATCCTCATTATAGTTTGTGTGGGATAACGGATGAAATAAGACTTTGAACAGTCCATTTTCTAAAAGATTTAACCCCGTTTTAGAGTTATTCGAGTTATTCCTAAAAGACTTGAACATGACCCATCCGTCAGAGAGACTGGATCAATCTTTCAGCGCGGGCCCTTTTGATCCTCTTTAATCCTGGGACCAGACTTAAAACCCGGGGGACAGCGCCTTTTGGCCTTTTCTGGGGCTGGACCAAAGCCGTGGAATGCTCTGCCCCCCCATAATCAAACTGTTCCCTCATTTTGATTCTTTTAAGTCTCGTAAGTAAGTAATGTTTATTTATATAGCGCATTTTTACAGACCAAGGTCGCCCAAAGCGCTTTACAATGTTTAGAGTTCAGATACTGTTCCAATCATTCCACGTCTTAAGTATGCTCTGGCTTTTAACACTGCGTAAATTGTATGGTCCTTTTTTGTTTCATTGCTATTTGTTTTTAATGAAATTGCTGTTTTACTATGGATTTGTTTTAATATGGATTCGTTTTAATAAGTATTTTATTATTTGGAAACTGTTTATGAAATGTGCTATATATATATATATATATATATAAAGTGGATTGGATTGAACTGGGTTTTTCAGAGTTCTTTCTTGCTGATGCAGGAGGGTCCGAGGACAGTGGTGATGATCCAGGACGTTTCAAGACGTTTCAGGACGTTTCAGGACGTTTCAGGACGTTGATCTCTGCCCCTTAAGGACCAATGACTATATGTGTTTTTTTATCCGCGCATGTCCTGTGTTTGAGCGGTTTGATTCTCTGATCTGTGTTGGTGAATCGACAGCTTTGTAAAATCCCCCGAGATGTTGTGATTTAGGGCTGTACAAAAATAAATGAAATTGAAGCAGAAGAGAAATAGATCAAGGGCGTATTGTCATTTCCTGAACGTCCACAAGTTTAAAGAAGAAATATTATAGATTATTTCTATCTATTACAAATGACAATAACACAATTCACTTACTTTCATGTTTTAGAAAGTGAAATGATCTCGTATTCAGTAAGATATATGGTGAAACGAGTACGACGGGTATAAAAGGAGGTGGTTCTTACCGAGGCAGGCGGCCGCTCCCACCATGGCGTACAGCCCCGGGGTGATGCAGTCGGCTCCAGGGGAACACCAGCCTCTGAAGATGATCCAGTCGTGGTGGAAGTACGCCAACTGCTCCATGGCCACGCCTAGCAACCGCCCGGCGATGGCCCCCACTGCCATGGAGGGGATGAAGAGACCGGAGGGCACCTGGGCAGAAAGGGCCAAGGTCACTGCTACGGTCACAAAGAGCTGGAACATTTCTAGTGCATTTCTACGGGAAGATCAGCTATATTCAACTAGAGGGAATTTATTTTATTGTAATTAAATTGTATAATAGCCAAGCATCCAATGTGTAAATGTCTCCAGTGTGAGAGCAATAAAGTCTATTTTATCTCATACATATAAACGTCATAAGGAAACATTTTTTCAACATATCTGTTTGTAAGTAGAACAAGTTCCCCATCAAAGCTTACTTCATGTTATTAAAGGTCCACATTTGAGCCTGTGGACAAAACAGTCTTGTGCTTTGGGCTCTTTAGTCTGGTCCAGAGATATCTCCTGTACATGTGATGGAGGCGCAGGGCCAGTAGGGGGCGTGGTCTCAATATGCAGTAAGCAGTGTGCTTTATGAATGTGATTGAGGAAGGACACAGATATTCAAGTGTTTTAGTCAAGATTATGCTAATATGTACTTACCTAAACTGTTTTAAGTCCACATTGTAAAGCCAACATTCAAAGTTAAATTCCTGTTAATTCCCAAAGAAAGTTTCCATCTTTGTTTAGTCTTTCTTACTGTCTACTGGTCCAAACAGATGCACTTTACAAATGTCACTATAGACCTCACTTTAGGAACTCCATCACTTTGTAAAGATCAATAAAGTTGATCTTATCTTTAAAGTTGGGGAACGTAACATTAAAGCTGGTAAGCATAAATTATACACCACAAAAACAGAACTCCTTAAGTCCATGTCATTAGTCGTTTTTAATTACCATTATTGTTTATTTGGTCGGGAAAGAGAATGTTAATGAACACACCTCTCTCCACTCATTCCACCTTGAACTATAGTGCAGGCTTTTAGTGGTAGGAGAAAACGGAGCACCCGGAGGAAACCTACGCAGACACGACCTGGAGGTGGAATTGAACCCAGGACCTTCTTGCAAGCTCCAACCACTGCGCCACTGTGATAGGTGTGTTTGTGTTTGTGTTTGTAGTGTATAGATATGCGTGTGTGTGTGTGTGTTTGTTTGTGTGTGACTGTGTGTGTGCGTGTGTGTGTTTCACCTTCATGCCAAAGGTGATGACTGTGATGGACATCTTGAAGACCAGAGCCAGAGCCAGCTGCCACAGAGCCGTGTAGAGTCCAGCTCCGGCCGGACGGTCTGCCAGGCTGTTACTGTCCGACGTGTTTGTGTTCATCTGAAAACACACACACAGACACAAAGACACACACGTACACAGATCAGGGCGAACTCGTGGCAGCTGAGGTGGTGAGAGGATATGGTAAGCAGTAAAAAAAGTAACCTTCTACTTTACTTATCCTATAAATAAAGTCACTTTTACGTTACTTTTGTGTTACCGTCATTCTCCACTACAGTCTATGATATCCACTGAAAGCTGTCAAACCCACAGAGACGCGTCAAAACCATAGACTGTCCCTGACTTTGCCTTGAAACTGGTTCAGCACATGGTCGGGTGTGAACGCCCCTTAACACTCTGAACCAATGGGAACCTGGGAAACCTATTGAGCCAATGAAACGCTTCGACACACTGACCGGCTTGTTTTGATACACGTTCCAACGCAGCGTTTGGAAGCAGTTTGTTTCAGAAGTTTGTTTCTGAGTCTACTACAGAAAGACAGAATGTGGATTTATTGTTGTTATAATAAACAAATACAGTACATATGTTCACTATGTTGTCATTTATCTTTCCATTCAAACAACCATTTACAGAAGAATATGGCATCATTTTGCAGATAGTTCAAAATGCGATTAGTAAGATTAGTAAGTAATCTTTATTTAGATACCGCCTTTTCACTGCAGATCTGAGTCTCAAAGCGGTTTACAATTGTTAATTTTTGGGCATTTGTCTCTCACTCCACACAGAGATGGGAGCGGGGTCGCCAGTACAGGAGGCGCATGCTAGAACTATTGGACATATTTTTAGTGGTAGGGGAAACCGGAGTACCCGGAGGAAACCGGAGTACCCGGAGGAAACCGGAGTACCCGGAGGAAACCTACGCAGACACGGGGAGAACATGCAAACTCCACTCAGAAAGGCCCTGGTCCGACCGGGATTCGAACCCAGGACCTTTTGCTGAGAGGCGAGAGTGCTATCCACTCAGCCACCGTGCCGCCCCGGTTAATATTTAAGCTGTAATGAACTCGATTCAAAATTGTAATAGTTTGACAGTCCTAATCAAAACAAAAACACAAAAACACAGGGAATGTCAAACAATAAGATAAACCACATGCACAAACAAACAGATGAACACAGCAACACAACGCTACACGACATTCCTCTGAAGACTCAAAACTCAACATTATATCATCAACCTTTCTAGGTAGCCCTGCTCTTAGCTAGCGCTCAGAATCCACGGTGCCGTCGAGGTTAACCAATCGAGTCATGCCAAGGGCTGTCAATCATCGGCGCTGATGCTCGGAGCTGCGCGCATGCGCAGTTGTTTGTTTTCGCGGAGCCTCCGAATCAAGGCTCTGGAACTACATGAAAACTGAACATTCTGAACATCCCGCTGAGGTACTTATGTATATTCTGAACCTATATCCATAATCAGATCCTCTGCAGGTGTGTCCTATAATGTGCAATTCATGATAATAGCACTTCCTGGTTTGCCGCGATCGCTTTTTTTTGTACATAAAAACTTTTTTTTCATTAAAACGTTCACAAATAATTATGAAAACCTCCGTGCATGAGTATTAATAATGTATATGTATAATGTGTTCTCTGATTAACATTTCAAAGTGTTACGGAAACGTAGGCGTAGACCAATCAGAAAGGAAGGGGGAGGAGCTTGCGTCGTTTTTTTCAAATCAAGTACCTCTCTGTCTCTCTTTCTGACAAACTCCAGACAATCACTTTAAGGAGAATAAAGGAGTAGCTCTCATAACAAACCTGTACTACAAGGGAGAAACAGCCCCATCTCCTGGTGAAAATCACATCTCCAATGATATTCATATTAAAGCTGGGGTGTGTAACTTTCAGACATCACAATGGAACTCTGTAATACAAGACATGTCTCTAGAACTGTTTGTTTCTATCACTAGTTTTCACATCATGTGTTTTTGGCCTCCATCACATCTCGAGATCAGCTTTTTCAGACCGAAAAGAGGAAAAGAGGATCAGCTCTTACCCAATAAGTCAAATAGTGACTCAGGGTTCATTCTGAAATAGCCTGGCCTTATCCATCCGTACACTCCGCTCAATCATCATTTCCTGCATGTAACGTCTGGGTCTGGTCCCTGTGTCTGCGATTACAATCTGTTGAATTCCATCTGACCAATCAGCGAGTGCGGGGGGCGGGTGTTGTAGTTAGATGTGGGCGACGTCAAGAGTTTGCATCGAACGGGCCGGTTGTGGTTTGGCGAAGAATGCGATAGTAAAGTAATCCGGTCTGATTCTTTCAAGAAATTGAAGCCGGAGCAAGAGGAATGTTTAGCAAATGTCATTGCTGCAAATATTGTGGCTCGACTCCCCACGGGCTCCGTTAGCGGCAAAGGAGATGGCTAAAGCTAGGCTAAATGCTAAATGCTATCGACTCATTCGGGCACATTACAAATGTCACAGTAAACTCAGATCCATTCGTCTATATCTGCAAAAGGAGTTAACCCCTCCCACCTGTTAATGGAGCAAATCTAGACCTTAGTACCAATGTAATTTGTACTGTGGTGTGGTACGACCAGCCTAATAGTGACACAAAAGATAATGTTGCCTGTCTCTAAATTGTTCACAACATTTTACATCGACAAGACTCTTTCTGTTGGACAAACTACACATCCCCCAGCTTTAAGCCTAGTTTATACTCGCGCGGCGCGGAGCTTACGGAGGTGACGTGACGTCACTTGCCCAACGCGTTGGTCACCGCAAGGCCCTTACGTTGCCTGCCCTGCAGCATCGAAATTTTCTAACTACGTAAGGGTCGCCGCAAGGAATCTCCGCTGTGATTGGTCCGTGTGTGTGTATTGGAAGGAAGCACGGAGCGGCTGCAGCAGGAGCATGGACGAGGCACTATGGAGCAGACTGCTTTGTGCTTCGAAGGAAAAGCAGTTTGGGCTCAGAGCCTGATAAACAGGAGACTGTGGACTATCTAACATAAATATAACTTATATCTAACATATATATAACTTATAAACTGTGCAGTCGTTTGTTTTGCACTGTTCCTGTCTTTGTTTGAATCGTAGCTGCGTTTGTTGCTTTCCTCCTGCACTCGTAAATCGTTTATGTCAGATATTTACCACTATTATTGTTTTGCTGTTTGTGCTGAAAACTATTTAATAATAACTATGTTTCCAACAAGAACTGTGTCTTTATTCACAGAATCACAGTTGAAATGACTTATAAAATAATGAATCCATAAAACTATCACACAAACCTGCAGTAGAAACACATGTAATGAACTCAAACAGCTTTGTTTGCTAATGTTGTTCTGAAGAGGACAAAGTAGCAGCGTAAATGGGACCGCTCCTGTGTGATCGCCCTCATGTGGTTTGTTGTGGGATTACAACATTCTCCTCAAAACTCCGTAAGGGGAACGCGCCAGTATAACATCAATTGTGCTTACGTAGGTCCACCGCAACCGCTAACGTAAGCCACGCCGCGCAAGTATACTCTAGGCTTTAGTTTCTGCAGTTTTAGCACGGAGGGTCCTGTGAGGGGGCCTACCTGCTTGTATCCACACAGCTGGGAGGAGTCCAGCAGAGAGCAGTCGTTGAACAGCTCTGAGATCAGCTCTGCTCCGCTCATCCGGGTGTAGCTGTTGGGGAAGGCGATGACAGCCGTGAGCGCCGTGACCACCAGGACCTCCAGCACCGGGTAGTGCCCCAGACGGGTGCTCTTTCCTGGGGAGGGACAGGACACACACAAGGCCAGAAGGTTAGCATGTGATTTTGTGTGTTAGAACTCCAGGTCAGGTCTGAGAGCTAAATACAGACCCTATACTGCACAAATGATTAAATATGAGGTAATAATTTAATTTGGTGTTTTTTACGAACTTCTAAATGAAGCTGGAGGCAAGTCAGCTGGTTTCTCCAAAAGGACATTCGTTTCAACAAACCCCTCCTTGGTACTTGTAAAGAGCATATAAGTGTGATGTCATAATGTTACAATGACATCACCACCGTGATCTTGAACTTTAGTGAGCTGAGAGCCTAGTTATTCGTTAGCATGTCACTAGCATGTCATTAGCATGTCATTAGCATGTCACTAGCATGTCACTAGCATGTCACTAGCATGTCACTAGCATGTCACTAGCATGTCACTAGCATGTAACAACGGAGAGCCAATGTTTATGCAACTTTTTGTATCAGTTTTTCAGTGGGTCTAAAGAGGACAATGGTTGTAGCTCGTTCTTCCATAAATCAGCCGTCTCGCCGCACAAAGACCTCACAAGCACAATACGTCTGACTCTCTCCAGACCCTTGTAGCTCGCTGTGCTTCTCACATGGGTCTGGGTCTTCACAGCGGATGAATTTCAGAAGACGGGGCTTTGTAAAAAAATCCTTGTATGTGATTGGACAAACCACTTGTCTGTTATCTTGAATGACGTGTTCCTTCAACCACTCACATCGAAGCACAGGATTCAACAGACTTTGTTGCAGGTTGTCAAATGCCGGCAACACATTCCAGCCCAAAACCCGCGAGAATGCCGGTTAAAAAGCTATCATGATTCTGTTTTTTGTCTTTGTGTATTCATTGACTACAAGTTGCTTGGAACAAAAGTATGCGGGAAACCACCCAACCTGGCAACCCTGCTGCGCAGTCTTGTGATGAGCACTACTTAAACAGTAATTAAACCAAACTTTACACGAACATTTTACTCTTAAAACACACATATAACATAGAACCATCGACATCTCGTCAAGCCATCTTGGCTTGATTTGGCTGAGACGCACAAGAAGGCCGTGCAAACCAGACTTAACCCTTTAAGCGCCAAAATCGCAACATTGCTCACTTAAACAGGCTGTATCTAAAAATGTGGAGCAGAATCTTGTTAATACTTTTCACCAGGGGTTAGTGGACATGTGTGCCTGTAATATGAGCAGCATTTGTGGGTGTGGTTATATTGAAAGTTTTTGAGTAAATTGAGTTCGTAAAACACCTGCGGCGCAGCGGTGCGGAGGCGAAGCAGCAGCGGTAGAGCTGAGAGGAGCCAGAGCAGAGCAGAGGGAAAGAGTGTTTTTGATTTACTCACGAGGTCTTCAGTACCAGAGAAGTACTTGGTCTGGTACTGGCTCACTCAGATTCAGAGGAGGAAGACACACAGGTGTCCAGTGAAGCAGACACGGACATTATTAGTGACGGGGAGACCACGCTCCATAGTCCACAATCAGCCTCTGTGCAGCGGCTGCTTGTCCTCCGTGTGGCCGCGGTAGAAGCATTCTGTGAACGCCAAGCAGGGGCCGTGGTCGAGGGGACAGGGGGATCATAACACCGGGCATGTGGAAGAAAGTAGCGGGGGAGCCGCGGGAAAAAAAACACATCGCACATCAGAAGTGTTGAAGAGCCTGTTGTTTCTTGTTGAGACGATCTGACATGTTCTGAGCCCATTCATTTCATCTCTCTGTTTCTAAACGATAAATCCTGGAGCCTCATTTCCACTGAGAAAAATAGTAAGCCCAAAAATATTGAAACCAATCTCCAGTTTTGAAATCTTTTCCATTTCCATTTTCCAAAAACCTTGATAAGGTCACAATATGCAAATTAGATGACGAATCAACTTCCATCCCAAAGTTTGGTTAAAACTGAAGATATTTCTAGTTTACAGTATGCCTTTATCTCAAACCATTTTAAAGTTATAGCCTTTTGAAAAAACTCTGGCGCCTAAAGGGTTAACACCGGCGATCCTGATTGGCTGATTATTTTTTGATCTCCTGAATGAGTTTGCATTGGCATAGATCCCAGACCCCTGTGTTCAACGAAGCGCCTCTGGTGGAGCACGGCGGAACTACAAGGGTCTGCAGAGAGTCAGGCTACAATACTCCTTCAGAGCCAAACACTCACGTCTCTTGCACCAGGCGATGTTGGCGCGTATGAACAGCGCCCCCCAGAGGCCGCCGAAGATCCCCAGCAGCACAAAGGGGGCCAGCTCCACCAGATGCCATGGAGCGTGGAACTCGACGTAGAACAGGACCAGGCGACTGTTTCCAAACGGGTTTATGGAGCGCAGCGTGAAGGCGGCCACCAGGGCGGCGAAGAAGGACCTCCAGAGGGTCTTCAACGGGAAGTAGTAGCTGACCTGAACAGACACATTTACTGTACATCAGAAACACTGCTGTAATTTACACATTAAAAATAATATTCATATCATTTAACATATAATATAACGTTCATGTGACATCGGCATGTTCCACAGAACCTTAAGTTTCACATTGAGTCAAAAGTCAGATTCTAGTCTTCGTTTAGAGCCAATTTATAGATTTTTAGATACAGGTCAACTCTTGGTCTCATGAACCTTCTACAGAATGGCTGAAGCTAAACACAGCTGCAGGTCTGTGGCTGATGGAACACCGTTGGGACACGGTGCAGAGAGAAAACTGCATTTTTACTGATTATATTTCAAGTCAGATTTAAATAATGACGACGTCAATGAGGCCAAAGAAATCAAACTGTGAATTTACAACTGGATCGTAAAACAACCAGACAGAAACATGAGACAGAGAGGACTGGTTCATCATACAGTCTGACAGCACTGACCCAAACCTGGACCTGAACCAGACCTAAACCTGGACCTGAACCCAGAGACCAGACCTGAACCCAGAGACCAGACCTGAACCCAGAGACCAGACCTGAACCCAGAGATCAGACCTGAACCCAGAGATCAGACCTGAACCCAGAGACCAGACCTGAACCCAGAGACCAGACCTGAACCCAGAGACCAGACCTGAACCCAGAGATCAGACCTGAACCCAGAGACCAGACCTGAACCCAGAGATCAGACCTGAACCCAGAGATCAGACCTGAACCCAGAGACCAGACCTGAACCCAGAGACCAGACCTGAACCCAGAGACCAGACCTGAACCCAGAGACCAGACCTGAACCCAGAGACCAGACCTGAACCCAGAGACAAGACCTGAACCCAGAGACCAGACCTGAAACCCAGAGACCAGATCTGAAACCCAGAGACCAGACCAGAACCCAGAGACCAGACCAGAACCCAGAGACCAGACCAGAACCCAGAGACCAGACCTGAACCCAGACCTAGACTAAACAGGTAGAAACATGAGACAGAAAGGACTGGTTCGTAATGCAGTCTGACAGCACTGACCCAAACCTGGACCTGGACCAGATCTGCACCTAGACAGGCCTGGCCCTTGACCAAGACCTGAACCTGGACTAGACCAGGACCCAGACCTCGGCAAGGACCTGGACCAGAACATGGGCTCGAACCTGGACCAGACTTGAAGACCAGAAGACTTAAAGACCATAGAGAGGGTGACCCTTTTCTACGGTTGTGCAGCCAGGTTTGGTGAAGGCAGGGGTCGTTATTTGCCGCTTGCGGCTATATTTCAGTAGCTCAGTTGGTAGAGCATTGGCCTTAAGGCCAGAAGGTCGTGGGTTCAGTTCCCACCTCTGCACCTTCTCCACCGACTCCCACTGATGACTGCTGTCGTTGTGTCCTTGGGCAAGACACTTAACCCCACTTTGCCCAAAGCCCCCACTGGAAGATCTCAGCTCCTGTGGACTCACCACCTGCAGAGGGTCAGTGAGGGGCTGGTGCTATGAGACTTGGGTGGCATCTCTGACTGCCACCCCCCTGACCCAGAAATGGATTAAAGGGCAGAAAATGGATGGATGGATGGATGGCTATATTTCTCAGTTGTAATCTGGTCTCTGGATTCACAGCAGTGATATACTGCAGTTTGAAGAATGTTTCTCACCTCCTCCAGACTGAAGAGCACTCCCCCGATGGGCGCTCCGAAGGCCACGGACACTCCCACTGCTGCAGCCGCCGACAACACCTGGAAACACATCGCTCAGCTTTAAACAGAAACACATCGCTCAGCTTTAAACAGAAACACATCGCTCAGCTTTAAACAGAAACACATCGCTCAGCTTTAAACAGAAACACATCGCTCAGCTTTAAGATAAGATACTTTATTGATCCCCCATAGAAAAAAAATCAGGAGTCCAGTAGCAGCAGAAACACTTCCAACCATACAAACAAACATTTATGAACATTGCATTTATTGCATTTGCTGTGTTTGATTTTCTGATCTGTGTTGGTGAATCGACAAAGTCCTCCGAGACAACACGGTTGTGATTTAGGGCAATAGAAAAAAAAGGATTGAATTGAAATAGATTTCTCCCTGGTCTGACCTCTCTGCGTTTGGCCTCGTTCTTCCGGTACTTGGTGAAGAGGTGGCACAGGATGTTGGCGCAGCAGCAGGCCACGTGCACCAGGGGGCCCTCTTTCCCCAGACTGAGGCCAGACGACACGGCCAGCACCAGAGTGATGGTCTTTGTGATCAGGGTCCACTTCCCAAGATAACCACGAATGATGAAGCCACTCAGGATCGTCTTAATCTGCAACAAAGTATCACAAACACTTTCTGAATAAGTCTTCTAAAAGTCATGAGGCAAGAGACCAGAGAGAGAGACCAGAGAGAGAGACCAGAGAGAGAGCCCAGAGAGAGAGCCCAGAGAGAGACCAGAAAGAGACCAGAGAGAGAGCCCAGAGAGAGAGAGAAGAGAGAGAGCCCAGAGAGAGAGCCCGGAGAGAGACCAGAGAGAGAGCCCGGAGAGAGACCAGAGAGAGGGACCAGAGAGAGAGCAGAGAGAGAGAGAGAGCAGAGAGAGAGCCCAGAGAGAGAGCCCAGAGAAAGCCCAGAGAGAGAGACCAGAGAGAGCCCAGAGAGAGACCAGTGAGAGCCCGGAGAGAGACCAGAGAGAGAGAGAGACCAGAGAGAGAGCCCAGAGAGAGACCAGAGAGAGACCAGAGAGGGACCAAAGAGAGACTAGAGAGAGCCCAGAGAGAGCTCAGAGAGAGCCCAGAGAGAGACCAGAGAGGGACCAAAGAGAGACTGGAGAGAGCCCAGAGAGAGAGAGAGAGAGAGAGAGAGCCCAGAGAGAGCCCAGAGAGAGAGAAGAGAGAGAGCCCAGAGAGAGACCAGTGAGAGAGCCCAGAGAAAGAGAGACCAGAGAGGGACCAAAGAGAGACTAGAGAGAGATCAGAGAGAGAGACCAGAGAGAGACCAGAGAGACCAGCGAGAGACCAGAGAGGGACCGAAGAGAGACTAGAGAGAGAGAGAGAGAGAGAGAGACACCAGAGAGGGACCAAAGAGAGAACAGAGAGAGAACAGAGAGAGACCAGAAAGAGACCAGAGAGAGACACAAAAGAGAGACTAGAGAGGGAGAGCCCAGAGAGAGAGAGCCCAGAGAGTGTGAAATCAGAGAGTGGGAAATCAGAGAGTGAGATCAGAGAGAGAGAGTTCTGCTTTAAGCTTCAGTGAATAGTATTCCTCACCTCTGGGATCCCGGAGCCGCAGGCGTAAGGAGCAAAGGCTCGGACCAACGTCACGGCCAAAAAGGCGAAGACCAGAGCCCAGAACAGGTACATGAGGTAGTTCAGGACGTAGGCCAGCGCCCCCTACAGGACACACAGCAGAGTGAAGCTTACACATAAACATGGAAAAGCAACACATGGTGTAACATCTGAAGGGTTCAGACAAACAGATGAAGAATCCCAGAATACATTTGTTTAAACTTTCCTTTGCTGATTTGATATGGATATGTTCTCTGTACGTTTTCTTAGTGCTATATTAATACATTTCCTTTAATTATTCAACTTATCTGTTTTCAGTTGACTTTTAACAGTATAAAGTCCCAAAGTTTCTTCTTGCTTCCGAACTCAGAGCGCAGGGTCCACCACTCAACAGCAGATGGAGCCGTTACACCAGTGTGAGCTTCAGCCTCAAACTGCACCAGTGTTTGACATTAGGGGCTGTGGATTTTTAAATATACATAAAATGTATCTGGGCTATTCCCAGCACTGCACATTTATAGCCGAGGAGTGCACAGATTACCACGGGCTCTTTGCTGACTGAACAATCAATCTATAATAAAGGAATGCTCCTGTAATCTTATTTATTTGAAAACAATTCTACACAATGAATTTATTTGGTGATAATCTGTGACATGATGGTGCCATATGAACCGGCTCTGAGGAGCACAGGGACTGGCCTCCTGCTGGGACTCTGAGGAGCACAGGGACTGGCCTCCTGCTGGGACTCTGAGGAGCACAGGGACTGGCCTCCTGCTGGGACTCTGAGGAGCACAGGGACTGGCCTCCTGCTGGGACTCTGAGGAGCACAGGGACTGGCCTCCTGCTGGGACTCTGAGGAGCACAGGGACTGGCCTCCTGCTGGGACTCTGAGGAGCACAGGGACTGGCCTCCTGCTGGGACTCTGAGGAGCACAGGGACTGGCCTCCTGCTGGGACTCTGAGGAGCACAGGGACTGGCCTCCTGCTGGGACTCTGAGGAGCACAGGGACTGGCCTCCTGCTGGGACTCTGAGGAGCACAGGGACTGGCCTCCTGCCGGGACTCTGAGGAGCACAGGGACTGGCCTCCTGCTGGGACTCTGAGGAGCACAGGGACTGGCCTCCTGCTGGGACTCTGAGGAGCACAGGGACTGGCCTCCTGCTGGTGCCCAAGTTTAGAACTATTTATGAGGAGGGTGCATTTCAGATTTATGCAGCTAAAATCTCGAATAATCTTCCTGAAAATGTGAGACAAGCTTCTACTCTGACAATGTTCAAAGCCAGGTTAAAGACTTTTATGTTTAGCTCTGAAATAAATAAATAAATTTTATCTTTACTCTTTCTACTGCACGGTTGATATTCATTATTTTAATCCCTGGTGTGATTTGGATGTTTAATGTTTATGTTTTTAATGCCTAGTGCGTGATTTTAATGTTTATGATTTATTATATATGGGTTGGGAAGCATTTTGTGTGAAGGAAAAGAGATTGATTGATTGCTACGTTTTTGCCACAGTGTGTGTACATCCTCCTGTGGACTCACAACCTGCAGAGGATCAGTGAGGGGCTGGTGCTAAGTGAATTGGGTGCAGCTCTGACTGCCACCCCCCCGACCCAGAAATGGATTAAGGGGAAGAAGATGGATGGATGGATGGTGTGTACATGTGTGTTAAGTACTACACAATGCTCTGTTCATGCTGCTTTTAACTTTGTATTTTAACTTTATATCAACTGCATTTTAACAGTTTTTAAATCTAATCGTATGTAAGGCGCCCATGAGTGTCTAGAAAGGCACCCAAGAAATAAAATGTATTATTATTATTATTAACTAAGTGTAAATATTTGATAGTGTGTGTGTCCCATTACCTCGGACTGTCCTGAGATGAGCTGTGCCCACGTCTGCCACTGGGGGCAGCGGTCTCTCTCCTGGAACGTGGTCTCGTTGGACGTCCAGCAGCAGTGCTCGTGATTGAACCAGAACCCGACCAGACACACGCCTTCTTTGAGGTCCGTGAGCCAATGAGCCGCAATGTCTATGCCCCCCGCCAAGGCCCCTGCAACATGGTACAGTTATGCCGCTTTTCCACAGTATCAGCACGGAACAGTACAGTACGCTTCAGCACGGTTATTTAGCGTTTCCACTAGTGGATGGAATGGGAGATTTGAGTACTTTTCCGTACTGCCTCAGCCGTGGTTCCATCCCCATAGTACCCGTGCCATGACGTCACACTGCCTTACACTGATTGGTCAACGAGTGTCGTCACTGGAAGAGACATCTGACCCTTTGGGAAAAACAACTCAACCGCCATCTTTAAAACAGGCTGCTCTGCTCGGCTCTGCTTCGGCTTCATTACGTCCTCCTCACTCCAGAGAAATGGAATTGCACAGAAAGCCCCAAAAGTCCTGGTCCTGGTCGGTGGAAGAGGTCCACACGTTCCTCTCTTCAGGACAAAGAAAGAATTCAAAGGCAGCTCGAGGCTCAACACAGTTTTCAGGAGATCACTCTGGATTTGTGACTAGTCTGTGGTAATCCTGAAATAACTGGCTAGCTACGAACCCCCTAAAGCTCTCACTGAAATGTATTTACTGTGTACATGCTCGATTGTCTGTTGTACACAGTGAGCTAGCTACATTTAGCTTCATTTAGCTATCGATAGCAGCTAAGCTAACGTCCTCCCTGTGCTACTGTGCTTTATCTCGTATCATCTGCAGTATCCACGTGTTGTCATTCTGTTTTGTGCTTGTATTTAAGTTGTTGTGTGTATATTTGTATGAGAATCCCTTTCCATAAGTGTGGAGATTACCAACGAGTAATGAGTGACCGGAGTATTCTCATCTGGACCTGGTCTGGACCTGGTCTGGACCTGGTCTCAGACATACGTACTTTTGACTTTGTAAACTGTTGGTTTTGCACTTTACTTTTGTTTTAAATAAATCTGTGATTGTATCAAGACTGTGTTTCATTCATTTATTATTATTGTAGCTGAGGTTTGGGTATCGATTGTTTGTCTGGTCTCGGAGTCTGCTGTAGTCCGGACCCGAGTCTGGACTAGCCTAGCTTAGCCTAGCCTAGCCTAGCCGCTAACTCGCTACCCCTATGGCTGCCGCTGTCTCTCCCTCGGTCCTTTACTGCTCGAGTTGCCATATGACGAGTTTAAACCCTGGATCCTCCTCTGATGGCAGTGATAGTTGTGTTAAGTGTAGTATTGTAGTAGCTTTGGAATCCAGGGTCAGTGAGTGAGCAGAGTCTCGAGCTAGCGCTAGCATTAGCTTTAGCAGTATCCTCGGACATGCAGCCCTCCTCCTCTGCTACACAGGCTGCTGTTGCTACAGGTCCATTCAGATTGTACAGAGCAGTCAGCACCATTGACTTCACAGTTTGAGTCATTATTTTAAGAAATAAGCATTTTCAAAAACTACTCGTGCTGTGCTGAATTTTCTATTAAACACTTGCTCTGATGTTATAATAAATCCATGCACCGCACCAGTACTAGTTACGCGTCACACGTAAATGACGTGGTCTGACAACGCTGAGGACATACTGGGGGTGCTATTTTTGATGGAAAAGCACGCGAACTGGGCCATGGCGCGCCGTGTAGAGTCAACACTTACCGTACTAGGACTGTGGAAAAACGGCATTAGAGACCATAAAACCAGGCTCTTACACATGGTAGAGAATGCAGAACCAGGCTCTTACACATGGTAAAGTAAGAGACCTCAGAACCAGACTCTTACACATGGTAAAGTTAGAGACCAGCTTTAAGAACAAGTTAAAGTTTCCACCAACCCTACTTGGTCCTACCGTACTCGGCTCTCTGAGTGCTAGTTCTAGGTACTTTTTAGTTCCTGTTTGGTCCTGGCTTTCTAGTAACAGGAAGTCACAAACTAGGAATTTGCCTTGGTATAAGTAATATTAAATAAAACAGTGAAAATTATCTATAAAAGGCAAGAATAAACCATATTAATAAAACTAAAAAAATACTAAAACAAAAAAATACACACAGTAGACATTCTGCAGATTATCCACAAGTGTAACGATTGTAAAAGACTGGGATCTAGTGATGAGTCAAGGGTTCATGGGTCACACCGCAGAGAGGACGACACTGTTCTGAACGCTAAACATGATCATTCTTCTGTCCACTTCTCAAACTGTGGTACAAGCAGATTTCTCCAGGCTTGGGGCGAGTTCCTGTACCTGACATGAGTCCCACCAGCAGCATGAGCAGCCACCCAGAGAACGCATCACTGATACTTCTGAGCAGAGCCACCGTGGACTGACGGCTCTTCTTCGTGATCTGGGAAAACATGGAACGAGTTCGGGTTTGTCCAATTTCATCGAATAAATAAATAAGTCATCCAGAACATTCACACTGCAATATCTTAAATCGGCTTCTTCCACATTAAGACTATGGTGCTATGGTGATGTCACACTTGGTCAGTCCACTTCTAGTATACGTCTATGGGAGTTCCGCAGGGTTCCATGTTAGGTCCAGTTCTTTTTAACCAGTACATCAGAGGTGCCCAACATATTTTACTCAATGAATACCTATAAATGTAGGTCCAGGTTCACTGTGTGACCTGGACAGATCTGTTGCTAAGGCGGTTGCTAGGACAAGCTGGAGTTTCCATGCAAATTAATCTGATTGGTCAACCTCTCGGCTTTGTTGGCGCCTTAGTGCTAGGATGGATACACAGTGGCTTGCAAATGTACAAATACAAATGGGCAAAACCTTCAGTCTCTAGATGTGCAAAGCATGTAGAGTCATACCCATACCAAGATCTACTTTTACAGCAACCATTGAGCCGTGATCCATGTTGGCAGGAAATAAATATTTAAAGCTGAGGCTCGTAACGTTTAAACCACAAATCTAGTTCCTGGCTCTAAAACCGTTTCTATCATAGTTTTGACTGAATCTCTGGGTCCCTAACGATACCATACAATACGTGATACAAACATGATACAATAATATCGTGATGAAGAATACTGTGATTAACGATACATTTCTCATACAACTGTCAAAGAAAGAACACGATCTGCCTCGACATCAGGTGTGTTCTAACTGTTTAGACTGTTTTTGGTCTGTTCTGAGTTTTAAAATAAGTTATGTCCACATTGATTACTTTAAGTCACTTGCACTCGGACTAAAAACCTGCACTGCTATTGCTACTGTTTCTTTAATTACCACTTTTTTATTGTACATAATATATCCTGAAGAGACTATATTTTTTGCTTATAGCATGTTTGTACACTTCTTTTGCACAATCTGAGTGATTCTATCTGTGCCAAATGTGACGTGTACATTTCTCCGGTGTGAGATCAATAAAGTCTTATCTTATGATCAATGTCGCTTTCTCATCAGCAACATTAGTAAGATGAATTTTGTGACACAATCAAAAACAAATAACAGTTTATACAAATAAAAGTCAACAGTTTGATCCCAGAGACGGAGCTTATTTATGATTAAAAAAAAACGACTTTCTGTTAGCAAGACCGAGGGCCCACGAACCACCACATGACGGCCGCATTTCTACATTATTGCAACATGCTGAACAAATTATCACTTTTAATGAACACGGGTTAGGATTTCATTTTGTATGTCCATGTATATAGTATTGTAAAAGTATTCGGGTGTGTTTTTCTGATCAAAAAGAGTTCAGTGGTGCTCTGATTGAAACAAACCAGAAGAGGAAATATTGCTGCTTCACTGTAGAGACTCACAGTAAAGACAACACGCTGGTCTGATGCTGGTCTGATGCTGGTCTGATGCTGGTCTGATGCTGGTCTGATGCTGGTCTGATGCTGGTCTGATGCTGGTCTGATGCTGGTCTGATGCTGGTCTGATGCTGGTCTGATGCTGGTCTGATGCTGGTCTGATGCTGGTCTGATGCTGGTCTGATGCTGGTCTGATGCTGGTCTGATGCTGGTCTGATGCTGGTCTGATGCTGGTCTGATGCTGGTCTGATGGTGGTCTGATGGTGGTCTGATGGTGGTCTGATGGTGGTCTGATGCTGGTCTGATGGTGGTCTGATGGTGGTCTGATGGTGGTCTGATGGTGGTCTGATGGTGGTCTGATGCTGGTCTGATGCTGGTCTGATGCTGGTCTGATGCTGGTCTGATGGTGGTCTGATGCATGGTGGTCTGATGCTGGTCTGATGCTGGTCTGATGCTGGTCTGATGCTGGTCTGATGCTGGTCTGATGCTGGTCTGATGCTGGTCTGATGCTGGTCTGATGCTGGTCTGATGCTGGTCTGATGCTGGTCTGATGCTGGTCTGATGTGTTCACAACATTTGACTCTCTCGGTCGGACAAACTACAGGTGTTGTTTATGAGACTAAAGTAATGTAGCCCAGCTTTAACTGTGTGCTGCAGTCGTTTCTCTCACCTCTCTGTGGCGGTCCCGGTCTCTGCTCTTCTCCCTCACCCAGTCGATGGTGTTGAAGTCCTCGTAGGTCCCCACACCGGGCAGAGGCTCCTGGGGGTCCATGGAGGGGCCCCTGGTCTGGCCTGATCCTCGAGGACTGGAGCTGAAGTGGTCCTCCAAGACTCCTGCAGAAAGAGAGAGAGAGAGAGACAGTGTGTGAGAGCGCGACACAGAGAGCAAAAACGCAAGCGAGAGTGACAGACAGAGAGACAGAGAGAGAGAGACAGAGAGAGAGAGAGAGAGAAAGACAGAGAGAGAGAGACAGAGAGAGAGACAGAGAGAGAGAGACAGAGAGAGAGA